GAGACCTTATAGAAGAGTTTAAAATAGGGGGGGGGGCAGGGATTCTCTGGGATTACTCCTGAGGAACTCTTCACTGATGCCCCGTATGCTAGTACCAGGGGTCACGAGTACAAACTGATGAAGACAAGGAGTAGGTTAGGTGTGAGGTCCAACTACTTCAACAATAGAACAATCAACAGGTGGAATAGACTGCTTGAGGAACTGGTCAACCTGCCTCGTGTTCACGCCTTCCAACTGGCTTTGGATAAGAGGTGGATAGAACTGTTCCCAAACGAGGAGTACTGAACATGATGCGAATGTTATGTACATAACTTTATTTTGTGCAATATGGAACGCTTTCACATTAAAAGTCTCTCACTGACACGGCGAGAAGTAAGGTTTCTCTTTCTCTGTTTGCAGATAGACGGAGAAACCGATCAATTGAGGAGATAGATGCACACTCGTGAACACACCACCTAAAGAATTCTGGACACTCGATTGGCCCGTGGCCACTAGCATTCCTGCGCCACCTGACCTGACTTGAGCTGACTCAATCATGTTTAGGTGAACGAAATAACACAGTTGTCGCAGCTTCGTGGTGCTTCAAAGCTTTTAGGTGCAAGAACATGGATCGCTCCCGGTCCCGCCACAAGTCATGTGACCTATCCTGTCTTTTCCTATCTTTAGAGCAATGGCTTGTTTAACTGGATCACTGACCTCCAGAAGATTCTCACTGTTGCGAGAGGCGTAAATTCCGGCGATGGTGCATGAGACAAAATATTACGATATTTTGGGTGTAAGCCCGAATGCAACTTTGGAAGAAATAAAAAAGGCCTACAGGAGGCTTGCGTTACAGTACCATCCAGACAAAAGCCGAGATAATGGAGAAAAAGTAAGTGGATAATTGGGGAATATTTCGCTTCTTAGTTCAAAGAAATTTCACAGGCGTTTGAGGTTATCAGTGATCCCAAAAAGCGCCGTATTTACGATGAAGGTGGTGAACAAGCCATCAAAGAAGGTGGAGTCGATGTTGGTGGCTTCCACAATCCCATGGATCTATTCGAGATGTTTTTTGGCGGGGGTGGCCGCAGTCGAGGGGCACGAAAAGGAAAAGATGCAGTTTTTCAGCTTTCTGTAAAGCTGGAAGAATTGTACTCTGGTGCCGTGCGAAAATTGTCGATAACTCGCAACAATATATGTGCAAAGTGCGAGGGTAGGTTTTCTTTACCACCAAGTTTTATTCACAGGTCGTGGTGGTAAACCGGGTGCTGTCCAGACATGTAAAACCTGCCGTGGAACGGGTATTCAGACTCACATCAGGCAACTAGCCCCCGGCTATGTACAACAGATTCAGAGCACGTGCTCAACTTGTAGAGGAGAGCGAGAGGTTATTGACCCGAAGGACTGTTGCAAAGCTTGCGAAGGGAAAAAAGTTGTACGGGAAAAGAAAGTGATTGAGGTAGCAATCGCGATCGGTATGGCTGATGGAGAGCGCATTAAATTCGCTGGGGAGGGGGATCGTGAGCCGGGGCTTGAACCTGGTGACGTTATAATCGTTCTTGACGAGCAGGCTCACGATCGGTTCATCCGTCGTCGCATGGATCTCATCTACACCCTCACACTTACCCTCAGCGAAGCCCTCTGCGGTTTCACTAGAACTATTGATACATTGGACAACCGGACTTTGCTTTTGCATTCGAAGCCAGGTACGTTAACTCCTGAGTGAAATCGATTTTCTTAGGTGAAGTTTTTAAGGGCTCAGAGTTCCGAGCGATTGAGGGCGAGGGTATGCCCAAGTACAAATCTCCATTTGAAAAAGGACGGCTGATAGTGAAATTCCAAGTCGTCTTCCCTCCCAATGATTTCCTTCCACCGGCCAAACTGAATCAGCTCCGCGAATTACTTCCACCTCCTGACCATGTGGATGATGTACCTGAGGACGCGGAGGAGGTGGTTTTGCATCCTTTCGATCCAGA